CATGGTTGTTACTAAAGCCTGGACGATTAGAACTCCATCAATGCAATTCCATTTTCTCCCCTGCAGTAGCACCAAAGATAATGAGTTTGATTTGATTGTGTATTATTGAGCCACCAATGTGGAATGATTTCTGTCACCTTAATCATTAGCTATTGTCAGCCTTTGGTGATCTTAACTGTGATTTAAAATGGAAATGACAGTTTACATATCAGGCAAATTACGCTGCCGTGTCTGTACATTCAGCAACTATCATTTGTGGTTCACCTGGAATTGATTTTGTGTTGTGTAAAACTGTTGGAGTTTGCTTACGTGAGCGTCTTTGCAATGTGGTGCCAGTGAAAACTGTATAAAGACATTCTAATTGCCATCACAGCTTTCAAGCCTAGTTTAACTGTAACCTATAAGGGCTGGCATAGTAGTTAACTCTGCTGCCTCATAGTGCCAGGGACCTGGGTTTAGTTCCAGCCTTGGATGACTGACTGTGTGGGATTTGCATGTTTTCCCTGTGTCTGGGTCAGTGCAGACTCTATAGACGCAATGGCCTATTTCTGCACTGTAGGGTTTCTATGCTTCTGTCTTTTCTGCTCAGTGTCCTTATTTTTAGTTATCATTTACACATGCCATTTGAATACACCATAAAAGTCATGCCTGTGACGAGGACATCAATTTATTGCATAATTGGGAGTAACAAGAGTGACAAATATAAAGTTGGAAAAGGAACATTGATGATGTTAAAGTAATTTATGAATTGGCTGTATCAATACATTCATTATGTCGTCAGTTATTTCTTTTCCTATCTTTGGTCTTCTCTACTACCAGTTTCCTCTTCTAGAGTCAGTTGTACAGCACGGAAACGGATCCTCTCGTCCAACTTGACTGTGCCGTCCAGATATCCCCATCTGGCCTAGTCCCATTTGCCGGCACTTGGCCCATATCCCTCTAAATCCTTTCTACTCACATACCCTTATTGTAATTGTACCAGCCTCCGCTGGCAGCTCATTCCATACATGCACCACCCTCTGCGTGAAAATGTTAACTCTTAGGTCCCTTTTAAATCTTTCCCCTCTCACCTTAAACCTTTGCCCTCTAATTTTGAACTCCCCCACCCTGGGGGAAAGACCTTGGCTATTCATGCTATCCGTGCTCCTCATGATTTTATGAACTTGTATAAGGTCACTCCTCAGCCTCTGACACTCATGTATCCCCAAGTGCCAGCTGCCCATCCCGATAGCTCGCTGAAGTTTCATCCTACGGTCTCAACCTGAACCGTGAATGGCTGCAGCAGAATCATGTCCATACCCAATCTGCTTTTCAGAGGGGAGAGAAAAGAATAGATGTGTCTTCCCTTTCCAATGTTATCCCTCTTTCCCTTTGTCAGGGTCTCCTGATTTTGTGCATCGTTCTTCTAGCCAGGGAGATCCCATCTTTTTCATCCGCTGCATTATTTGTTTACATTGGCCAACCCGGGGAAAGCCCATTGAGCTGTAAAGGCAGAAGGTGTAAAGGCAATGAGTTAAATTGAACCAAGTGGGCTTCTAAGGGTTTGTCAGAGTAAGAAAAGATGCTGGGAATTAGCGTTCTGAGAGTTTGATTCCTGGGAGAGGATGAATGTGTAATTGCTTGGCTTTTATCAGTTGCCTATAGCAATTGGGAATTAGTCATGTAATAAATTGAACATTCAAACATATGGTGCCATATGTTGAGACATCAAATCAAAGTGCTAATGTTGAGCCAGAAATGCATCACTTCATTCTCTCAAATCAGAAAAACATTTCCATTGACTTGTAAAGGACCCCATACATTGCATGTTGCTGTGCGTGGACCTATATTAGCATATGAATTGTATGTACCTTCTGTGTGAAGACTATTCATTTTGATGGAAATTAAAAATCGTACCCTTTAGGTTAGAGCTAAATTAAACAGGGATAATTGGTTATTCATTCTGTGCCCAAATGAAGAGCACATTTTGTGAAACAAATTTTGTCCCACAAGTCCCCAAGTGATTATTTACAGATGAAAACCGAGAGATAGCTTTTGGATGTGCCATCATGGAGAATTTAGAGTTGTACCAATGATTGGTAAACACATTGTAGCAGGACGTATTGGTATTGTTAAAGTTGTCCTCTGCTCTGTTGTTAGGCTGAAATCTGCCTTGTTACAATCCCAAATATGAAAATGCTGCACATGTCGGAACTTTGTTAGATCTGGTTCGTTCGACCATATTCTTATTAAGACTACAATGTAAGAACCAATGATATGAAAATAAGCATCAGTATTCCAGAGATGAAATGAAATGCCAAATGAAATGATTCTATAAACTTGATCAAAACACACATAAGCAGTAATAACTAATAACTTTACTAAACAGATAAAGTAATTATTCTAAACAAGGAACAATGTGGGTCACCAGTTCTTTACTTTTGAAGATCTATCCTTGGAAAGCCTTTAAAGCCTCTCCGACTCAGACTGCCCTAATAACAACTAATGTCTTGGTAGTTTTGCTTTGTTGACACAATTGTCTCTAGATATTTAAGCTAACTTGAGAGCTAACTTTTGAACATTTCTTTTTGATACCTTGTGACCAAGTATATAAACAAAAATGATTTAGAAAAGTTGCTACAAGTACGTAACTTGTGGCTCGTGTGTTTTAGTGTATAATATTTAGCTAAAGGAATTTAAACTGGACTGTAGAAAATGGAACAAATCCGACTGAACTGCTTTTAAGTTCAATGCACCTAAAATCGAGAAGGCTAAAATGTAGCTTAGATTACCGCTAAAGATTTAAACCGATCATTGGGCCTTAACCTGGATCTGCTTTGGTTCTTGATTCACCTGGATTTCTAGCATGAAAGACCATTCAAAGAGGAATCAAGAGAGACTTGGTATAGGCCTGAATCTTAGTCAACAATATGTATAAGAAATTGAAGTGATGCAGGAGGGATGGAGCTAATGTTACTCAAGTTAGCATGGCATTGGAAAAATGTGGCTTGGTGTTGGAGCATGATGAAGATAGATAGTTCTGTCTGAAATTCAGCTCCAGAACATCGATATAACTCTAAAAGAGGTGACTGGATTGTCACTTTGCTTCTTTGTGTTTATATCTCTTTCTCCAGTTGTCTAAACATGCCTGAGTACACTTTAATAACTCTTGACAGTTTCCAAGCCCCACACTAGAAGTAACAAAGCCAGAGAACAGGGTTTCCTACACCTGTCTACAAATGGAGTGTAATCATTGAATCAAAGACAGTCACTCAAGCTAGCAGGTTACTAGCTTGTCACCCACTGTGGGCTTCCAGGTGGTTTGTCAGCCTGTTGTTAATGTTACTCCATTTATGCTGCTCAGCCCTCTCTTTCAATGTCATTTGTGGTGTTCTACTGCACACGAGCACAACACTGATATCGGTGTCCCTGTCTGACAGTGCAGGTATGGTAACTGGAAGAATACAAGTAACTCCATCATTATTTGGAGAATCTGTAAATAGTTCATGCTTTAACATTTTACACACCAAAACTTAGGTCTGGAATCTAATTGCTACGTGATCTGGTTGACAGTGCAATCACTTTGTAAGGGAGTGTGCGGGCCTCTGTTTCCTTTTCTGAAAAACTTAATTAAGTTCAGCAAATAGACAGAGGCTTTATCTGCCAAAGTAAAGATTAATAAAGCATTCCCTATTGCAAAGCTGCAGCAAAGATACGCACTCATGGGCTGGACCAGGCTGCATTTCTGGGTCCCTCGCTTGCTTTTACAGCACTCGAGTGAGCCGACACGGATGGTCAATGCGACCCTGCCTTGCATTGGCCTTTTGAGATTTGCCAGAGACACCAGGTTCACATTACTGTGGCGGTTAGCACAGACACAAAGTCAGGGAGCTTGTCACAATCGTCACCAGGCCTCAGTCAAGTCAAGTGGGATAGCTACCATTTGGGGTGCCAGCACAGTAAGTCAAAGGTCGCCTCTGATACCTCTCCAGGGGTGTGGACATGGTCAATCAGCCATTCAGGTCAGGCAGAGTCAGGATACTATCCCCATGATGTGAGAAGTCAAGTATTAGACAGCCATCATCATGAGATGCCAATGTGATAAATGCAGGTAGTAAGAGCAGTGAAAGTGGTTGGTACAGCTACATCTGTTCGTGTAGGTGGGGAAGTATCCCAAGTAAGTGTGTAGGCAGTGCAGAGGACATGCAGCATTGGTGCTGCCAGGGGCTGGGCGCATGAGAGGGAGTGAGGAAAGATGTTGCAGGTAATAGAGACAGTGGGAGAGCGTTAGCCTTAAGGGGGAGATGGGTGCAGTAGCGGAGAGAGATTGAGGGGTGAGATATCAGAGTGATGGTGGCACTTGCACGAGCAGAGGGGAGAGTGCCATTGACCTTGTTCCTGTGATGCTGGGCATCCCTCGAGATTGCCCTTACATGGATGGCAATCCCAGACAAGGTTGGCATGGTCTAGTGTCATGGCCTTTGTCGCTGGTTCGGTGGGTGGGGGGTGAAGAAAGAGAAAAAAAAATGTCCTTTGTTTGCACCATCCTGTTCATGAAGACCTCCAGAGCCCCACCTGTTTCCATGTCTTGGTCAAAAGTCGGGAACCATGCAGTGCATGGTGCATAACAGCCTTTGAAAGATTGTGCCAACTACACAGATGTCAGTCAATTCTAGCAGTGACAACTTGTACTCAGAATGGCACATGGTAAGTTGAGGCTAAGTTTAGGTGAGAGGGATGGGGCAGGTAGTTAATGAAGACAGTTTGGTATAACAATATATAGTATCTCATGACGCCACAAAGTGAGAAACTGATGCACCACCAAAAAAAAGTAAGATTAGCCCATTTGTTCTGCCAAAGTTAGTTTCTTCGGTTTATCAGGTTTACCCTGAGATTCCAGCAAAATTAAACCTGTCAGTTTATAAAGTTGACAGGGAGGACACTTCACAGAGGGGTTTCAAGTGAGGAGGATCCCTTAATATAAATAACCTTACAATCTTTGTTTCTGAACTACTTTTCAGGTATCAGTATTTGAAACGAACTGGGAGTTTTGAGCGCTCGGCTGGGCTTCAGGCAGGAGCAGATGCTATCGAGGTGAGTGCAAGCATTTAACAAAGAACAAGATTCAATGAAATAACATGCATTACACTTCACCATGGCAGCATCATTACTTCGACCAGGCATCCTAGTCTTCAACAGAGACACACTGGACAATGGAAACACCTTGTCGCTTGTGGGCATTTCTTTCCCCGTCGATAAATTGTAGTTTATAATAGATATCTAAAACATTGTTGCAGATGTAGGCTGGTTTCATCTTCAGCTTACATCGTATATGTTACCTGACCGAAATAGTACATGTCTGTCAAATATATGACAAACCCAAAATTTCCTATAAGTGTGCGCAATGCAGTAATTCCTCATGGGAAAAAAAACCTTATAATTCCAACAGGAGACGAAAGCAAACAGAAGTGAATCTAAGCAGTAAAGCATGTCCGAAGGCACAAGTTATCAATCTGTTTAGCTGTGACTTTGGGACGGATGCCAACGACACCTCCAGACTGAGTTATAGCCTAAGTGCTCCTCTATGTGTCCTGCAGGCAAAATATCAGGTGCATTTAAGAGACAGTTGGATCAGAGGAAACAATGATAACTAAGGAAGGATGGGATGGATAGTCCTAGTATTTACTTCATTGAGAGATAGTAGGAACTGCCGATGCTGGCGTCTGAGATAACAAGGTGTGGAGCTTGATGAACACAGCAGGCCAGGCAGCATCAGAGGAGCAGGAAAACTGACATTGAAGGGTCCAGACCCAAAACGTCAGCTTTCCTCTATTTACTTCATTGATCCTTATTGTTGTGGCATCAAACTGGGTTTTCTGGTAAGGCTAGTGGTTACCCATTAAGATAAACTAGTGATATTTTTGGTGGAGTTTCAGGGGGGCAGTAGGAGAGCTTTGGGGAATAGCAAGCTAATTGGCCATTAATAGGCCACCAGCAGGTTAAAATAAACAGCGGCGACGGGCAAATACAATCTGAAAATATTCTCAAGTGGTTCACAAACAACACAAAAATGGGGACAAAAGTTTCAAGAAAAATCACCGTCTTACAATATCACTCCTTCGTGTTCTGAACAGGGCTGAACAAATGCAGCTGCACATCTGGTGGAGGAGGAGGAATGCAGAGTTTGATTGGATGAGCAGACAGCATGGGCAAGATAGCATCTGTGAGGAGCTGCCCCTCCAATCTCATTCTGTCTCTCCCCTGCTCACTGCTCCTCCAATCATAGATACGCCCATTAAAAAAAGGGCAAAGAACTGTGGATGCTGGAAATCCGAAACAAAAACGGAAATTGCTGGAAAAACTCAGCAGGTCTGGCAGCATCTGTGGAGAGAAAGCAGAGTTCATGCTTCAAGTCTTCAGATCTGAACAGTTCAGATTCACCTCTCCCTTGCTTATTGCTGCAGCCTCTCCACTGAGAGAATCAGAGATTAGAAAAGCAGCAAGGGAAGGAGGGTGGGAATCTGTAATTTGAAGGGCTGATCCAGAAAGCATGGGAGAGATAGTGGTTAAAAACTTTTTGCAAGCTGAAGAGAGAGTTGGAAAATGATGGAAAGGGTTTTATTCAGAGCAGAAGACCAGAATATGGAAATCGAGGCTAGTTACCACATTTTGTTCTCGTTTGGGAACTACTTACATTTTACCATTTGGGATACCTGCTTTTTTGACATTGTGTATGAAATAACTTCACAGAGGGTGGTCACCCTTTATTTATACATACATAGTACGTGACATTGATCCAGCTCTGAGCAAACCGAACCTCTGACACTCCTGTTTATATCTGTCAGCCAGGGCTTCCTGATTGGACCAAGTTAACATCCCCAATCAGGAACTCATATTCTATGAAGTCCACTTGGCTGAACTCGTTATAGTCACTGCAGTGTATACAAAACATGGTAAACCACCACTGTATCATGTGCTGAGAGTGCTGTATACTTCACCTGCTCCTTGTCCATCCCTAAAGCTCTTTCACATCAAGGCTGTGCCCATTTAAGGTGATTTTCTCCTTGCATTCTCAGCCCTTAGCCATGACTATGAGTGAATCACTGCCTTGACTAAGTGCTGTCCTTTTCCAGTGAGGAGCTGGATGTGGAAATTTCCAGTCTGCTCATTCAGTTATTGGTATATTGTGTTCGGCATCAAAGTTCCTCGCTGTAATTCATAGAGTCATACAGCATGGAAACACACCCTTCGGTCCAACTCGTCCATACCAACCAAGTTTCCCAAACTTAACCAAATCCCACTTGCCTACGTTTGGCCCATAACCTTCCATTGTAACTGTACCTGCATCTATCACTTTCTCTGGAAGTTCATTCCACCTATGAACCAGCCTTTGTGTGAAAACGTTGCCCCTCAGGTCCCTTTCTACGTCTTTCTCCTCCCACCTTAAAAATATGTCCCTTAGTTTTGAACTCCCTCACATTTTGCTATTCACCCTATCTACGCCCCTCATGATTTTATCAACCTCTATAAGGTCACCCCTTAACCTTCCACGCTCCAATGAAAAACCTCCCAGCCTTTCCTTATTACTCAAACCCTCCAGTCCCAGCAACATCCTCCCTTCTACGCACAGGATGGGAGGTCAGAGACCTACATCTTTACACATACTACCCATAGACATTTCTGACATTTCCAAAATGTCCAAAATCCTACAAAGTCACAACATCTAATACAGCAACATTGAGGAGAAACAGGAGCCAACTCAAGGAGCTGTACAATACTCCCACTCTGTGTAAAACATTCACAGACAGAAGCTTGGATAATGAGGATACAGAAAACCATCAGAGCAGCAATCAAACTGCTAACAACATGCAAGATTCCAAAACAAATGTGAAGTCTAAATCTCTGAAATGTTAAGATATCACAGGTTCTGAATGAATTGTCAAACCACCAGTACATAATGCAGACTCTTAAAATATTTTAAATTCTTGTTTAAGTTTCACACTTAGTAATCTGACTTGTTACGTTATCACTTTGAGAACTGTGTTGCTTTAAGAGCTGCATATACTGACGAGCCAAGGACGAAACCAGAACTTCCATGTGCAGTCTATCAGAAACATACTGGAATCAGAATATATAGTTAGCTACAACTGCAAGTTCATAGAATCCTACAGTTCAGAAGCTGCCCTTCAGCCCATCACGTCTGTACTGCTAAAGTGAACAGCTCAGGTGACAAATCAGTCTCATCCATTCATGTAGAAATACTTAAGATTATCAAATAAGTAGTTTTAAACAAAGAACTAACCAGATCAAACGTTCAATTAAATGCAAGTCTCTCTCTTTTCCTCATGTTAGAGGTGTTACTAGCACTCGCTGTATGTCTTGAATGGCTGAAAATTTCCACTGTTAATCAATGAATAATGGAAAAGTGTTCAAAGATGGTGGTCTGTCTGTGCTTGTGTTTGTCAGTTTTCCCTGTATTTTCCACATCACTCACTTGTATTTCTTTAATATATAGCATGTGTTCTTGACAATTACACCTCTTGCTTTTTTGTATTAGTGCTTCCTTTCTGAGTTTTTGCTTTCTTGCTATTTCTGCACTCTTCCGGCCTCCTCTTCATGTTTTCCTTTCCATCTTCCACCATCACACTTCTCCAGAGGGCAGGGAAAATCCAGCTAGGAGAGGGAGAGAGAGAGATTTTTTAATTTGTCCACAGGATGAGGGCGTCACTGGCTCGGCAGCATTTATTGCCCATCCCTAATTGCCCAGAGGGCAGTTGAGAGTCAACCACATTGCTATGGGTTTGGAGTCACATGTAGTCCAGACCAGGTAAGGATGGTAGGAGATGACAGACTTTGTAAAATCGTGGCAGAAGGGGTCCGTAGTGAAGCCCAATGTTATTCTCCAGCCACAGACATTCTCAGCCCTGGGAATGTTAACAAAGTGGAGGTGAGCAGCCAAGTAATTGGCCAATTAGGTAGACCTTTACTTTCAAAGGAGGATGTAGCCTCCTCCTCCTTCTGACCAAAAGGTATCACCCTCAGACTTGTCTGGGTGAAGAAATTACTCCTAATCTCAATCCTAAATGGCCTACCTCGTATCCTTAAACTGTGACCCCTGGTTCTGGGTTCTCGAGTCATTGGAAAATCCTTCCTGCATTTCCCCTGTCTAGTCCTGTCAGAATGTTATTAGTCAGTCTCTTTGAGATTCCCCTCATTCTTCTAAACTTCAGTAAATATACTCCTAACTGATCCAATCTCTCCTCATATGTCAGGCCTGCATCCCAGGAACCCAGTCTGGTAAATCTTTGTTGCACTCAGTCCATAGTCATAACATAGCCTCACTCAGATAAGGAGACCAAAACTGCACACAGTGCTCCAGCTGTGTTCCAGGCAAATCCCTGTGCAATTGCAATAAGACATTCCCAGTCCTGTATGTGAACCCTCTCACTGTGAAGGCCAACATACCATTTGCCTTCTTCACTGCACCCACATGTTTACTTTCAGCATCTGTGTACAAGGACACTCAGGTCTTATTGCACTTGCCCCTTTGCCAATCTATCACCATTCCCATACTGTACCTTCCTATTTTTGCTGATGTGTTTACATTTATCCACATTATATTTCATCCCTCATGCACTCGCTCGCTCACTGTCTCCGCCTCCAAAACGCACCGAAGTATCTCCGCATCCTCCTCACAGCTCACCCTACCACCCAGCTTTGTGTCATCTGCAAATTTGCAGATATTGCATTTAGTTCCTTCATCTAAATCATTAATACATAACACCGATCCTTGCAGTACCCCACTAGTCACTGCCTGCCACTCTGAAACTGATTCATTTATTCCTACTCTTTGTTCCCTGTCCGCCAACCAGTTCTCTATCCATGTTAGTACAATCCCGTATAATTTACATGCTAATCTCTTATGTTGGACTTTATCAAATGCATTCTGGAAGTCCAAGTCAACCATATCTGCTGGCTGCTCCTCATAAATTCTACCAATTACATTGAGTCATGGAATCATAAAGCACGGAAACAGACCCTTCAGTCCAACCACTCCATGCCGAATATCTATGAAACATTCCAGTAACTTTATC